GACATGAGGCTACAAACTTATCCACATCGTTCTTCATTTTATGCCAATAAAAAGTTGTAGCCAACCGAGCAAATGTACGGGCTGCTCCTTCATGTCCGGCCATTGGGGTGGTGTGAAATTCTTGGAGCAAGATTGATTTGAGGTGAGAATTGGAGGAGATAAAATAACAATTTTTGAAAAGCAAGATACCATCGTTAACATGCACATGTTGGATGCTTTCTCCTTGATTTATGCGCTGGTGCAGCTTAAGCAAATCAGGTTGACGCAGATTATCTTCTCTAATAATGTCTAAGAGTTGTACCTTAGAAATAGAGATGAGGTTGTAGAAGGCACCTTGGAACAATTGGATTTCACTCTCTGGTACTCGCGATAAGGCATCTGCTGCTTTATTGGAAGCTCCGGTTTTGTACTCTATTCGAAACGAAAATCCCAGTAGCTTGCGAACATAAACTTGCTGATCTGGAGTGTGCATAAACTGTTGTACCAATTCCTTTAAACTTTTGTGGTCTGTGCGAATAATGAAAAATTGACCGAGCAAATATTGGCGCCATTTATACACTGATTCAACTATAGCATATAATTCCCTATTATATGTTGATTGTGCGCGCATGCGGGGTCCAAGCTTTTTGCTAAAATATGCTATAGGTTGATCCTCCTGCATTAATACTGCTCCCACTCCTACATCTGAGGCATCGGTCTCCACAATAAAAAGCTTAGTGAAATCTGGTAAGCGCAATACCGGTGCCGTTGTCATAGCTGTCTTGAGGCCAATAAAAGCATTAGCCGCATCCTTTGTCCACGGGAAGTTATCTGTACGTAAAAGGTCTGTTAAAGGTGCTGCAATTTTTGCATATCCTTGTATAAAACGTAGATAGTATCCGGTGAGGCCCAAAAATCCCCGCAGTTGCTTTTGATTAGTGGGCTCTGGCCATGCTACCATGGCTTCTACTTTTGATGGATCAGCGTGAATCCCTGCAGCATCCACAATGTGACCTAAATAATCCACCTATGCTTGACAAAATCTGCACTTTGAAAGCTTAACAAAAAAATAGTGAGATGCCAAACATTCAAAAACCATGCGAAGGTGTATTAAATGATCGTCAAGTGATGTACTATAGATAAGAATATCATCAAAGAAAACAATAACAAACTTTCGGAGGAATGGCGTAAAAATCCTGTTCATGGTAGCTTGAAAAGTGGAAGGGGCATTTGTAAGACCAAAGGGCATGACCACAAACTCATAATGGCCCTCATGAGTTCGGAATGCCGTCTTATAGATGTCTTGGTTATGAATCCGAATTTGATGATACCCGGCCGTGAGATCCAACTTTGAGAATAGTGAAGCGCCCCCTAGCTCATCAAATAACTCATCAATTGTTGGGATGGGAAAATTGTCACGGATGGTGACAACATTTAGTGCTCGATAATCTACACAGAAACGGTATGTACCATCCTTTTTCTTTACCAGTAAAACGGGAGAAGAAAATGGGCTTTGGCTAGGTCGGACTAAGCCTTGCTGCAACATTTCCTTTACTAACTTCTCTATTTCTGATTTTTGGAAGTGGGGATAGCGATACGGACGAACATTAACTGGTTTAGACCCGGGAAGCAAATGGATTATGTGATCTAAGTCACGGTGAGGTGGCAACTCTTGAGGTGGTTGAAAAATGGTGCAGAAGCTCAATATCAATTCGGCCGCTTCCTTTGGAATGTCATGAGGTAACTCCATTGAGAGAGTGGTATCCGGAAGATCCTGGTTTCTTGTGGATTCTATGTAAAATAGCTCATAGAGCTTGTGAACATTATTTGACTCTGTTATAGCTTGAAGTTGATTGAAGGTGATTTGCTGTACCGAGCTTGCATGGTCCCCCGTTAGACAAATATGTTGTCCATTCCATAAGAATTCCATAGAGAGATGAGCATAGTCATGAGTTATCTTCCCCAACTGTTGTAGCCACTGTACCCCTAAAACAACATCGGGGCCTTGAATCGGTAATACAAAAAGGTCGATAGGAAATATTGTACCTTGCATCTGAATTGGGACTTGAGGATAACGAACTCTACAATGAAGGGAGTCACCATTTCCAATGTATACGTTGAATTTTTCAATGGTTTCGGTAGGAAGGTGCAATTTTTCTACAGCTGAGGGTTGGATAAAATTGTGAGTGCTTCCTCCGTCAACCAGAATCTGTATCCTTTGACCGTGAATATCACCCCAGAAACGAAGAGACCTTGGTGTATTCATTCCAGACATTGAGTTTAGTGTAGAAATATCTGCTGTGATGAGCATAGCCTCTGTGAACTGGTCATCTTGTGGTGTTACTTCTTCCTGACAGACTTGGTCATCTTCTTCCATTCCTAATAACATTAAAAATCTACTTTGACATCGATGAGAATTTGACCATTTTTGGTCGCAATTATAACATAATCCTTTGCTTCGTTTATCCCGTATTTCCGCTGAAGATAGACGTCTAATCGGAAGGTCTGGAATAGGACGTCCAGTGGTTGCCGTGGGGCTTGGGCGTTGGACTGGTTGAGGCATGGTGACAGTGGCTGGACGTGTAGGAGGCTGATGATTGGAGTATGGGCGATGCGGAGCAGAAACAGCAGTTGGACGTGAAGTCCATCTTGGTGTAGATAGTAACAACTCATATTTGCTTTCATATGTTTTTGCCAGTGAAAAAGCTTCCTCCAGGGACGTAGGTTTGGCCAACAGTAAATCTTGCTGTAACTCATGTTTTAATCCTGCAATAAACATTGAAATAAGGACGGCTTCAGATATGCCTGACACCTTATTTAACAGTTTCTCAAAGCTAGCGCGATAATCTGCAACTGTGCTCGTTTGAGTAAGTTTGGAGAGTTGTCCTTGATAGTCCACTAGTTGTGATGGCCCAAAACGAAGTTTAATTTTATCCGTGAAATCTGCCCAATTACCTAATAATTGGTTGTTTTTCAACCAACGATACCATTCTGATGCATCGTCTTCCATAGAAAATGCCGTGATTTGCACCCTATATATGTCAGAGATACCATAAAACTCATAATATTCATTAATCTTAAAAAGCCATAAGGGTCTGTACCACTGAACTTAGGGAGTTCTAGTCGTAAGCCATTGATATGTTGGGACGGAACTTGAGTGTTGGACATAAGTCACATAACAGGAGAACCGTGAGATGGTGGTGGAAATTGAGATGATTGCCCAGGCTGTATAGGATATTGTGGTGGCCTCTGCAAACCCCGTCTGATGTCTTCTACCGATAAGGCCAATGCTTGCACTGTCTGAGCAAGGTTGTGGACTGTGATGGTGAGCTGGTTGTTTGCCACCGATTGTTGTTCCATTTGGGTACGAATGTCCGCCATGGACGTATCCGTGGAGTCGGAAGGGATGTGTTCAGCCATGAAAGCACCAATATTACATGTAGAACATGCAACAAGTGAAATCTTTCGAGCAGATTTCTAGCTCCGGGTCTGTATTCGAGTCACAGACAAAACTCCAAGATGAAAATAAAATAAAACTTCTTTATTATGAGATGATATTAGCCATACAAGAGGTTCCTTAAATACTATTTAGCCTAACGGCTCATTCCATAATTTTAGCTTTAGGATATGGTAAATAGATATGCAGAAGGTAATAAATAATATGCAGAATATTCTCTAATAATAGTGGTAATCTTGGTTCCCTGCTTTCCTTATGTTGCGAGTGGAGCGTCGCAATCTTCTCTTCTCGCGGCTGGATTCATTTTGCTGGTAATCTTCTTGTTGATCTTGCCTATCTTCCATTAGTTGATGGTCATTACTCCTTGATCCTTGATCTGCCATCGTAACAGTTTCTGTCACTTTTCCCCCAATCTCTATTTTCTCCGCAACTCTTAGTTTCCTAATTTCGTTTTATTTACGATATATTAAATTTACAGTTGAAGAATATAAGGATTTTAGCTTTTGATTTCGGGTGATCCATCAATTTAATGGGTCGACGTCAGCTAATCAAAACCACCGTAGCGGGTGCAAGTAGGGATTTAATAAGTCTTCTGCCGGTAGAGGTAAAGCACAGAATTTTGGAGTGTTTGCCCATCCGAGGCGTCGCCAGAATTGCTCTACTCTCAACCCACTGGAATGATGTTTGGTTGCAGCATGGGAGTCTTGCGTTCGATTGTGACTTCACATATAGTGTCGAACAGGGCCACGGTGATGAAGGCAGAACGCTCTTTGACATAATAAATAATAATATCATTTCCCGTGCTGGACCGGTTAAGAAATTTACTCTACAGATTGGTAATTATTATCCTGTGCGACAGTCTGATTTCAATAGGTTGTGCCTTTTTCTATCAAGAAATGGTGTGGACGAGCTTAACATATGTCTTTTTAATTGTGGATAAGATGAATATAAGCTGGCCATTTTGTATACTCTCGTGCCGGACAATTAAGCAATTGAGTGTCGAAAGTCCCTTTATTGATTTGCCCGTAAATAATGTTGGTGGCATATTTTCCAATATCACTTCATTATTTTTCCAGGATGTTGAATTTAGACACACTGTTAATGGAACTGCCTCTAGTATTAGTATTCCTAACCTTGAGAAGCTGGCTTTCCAATTTTGTGGAGGGATTAATAAATTTTAGATCAGCACTCCAAAACTTGAAATGTTGTCTGTTCGTAATTCTGTGCATGATGTGGTTGACTCAAGATGGTTGACACCACATTTGAAAACAATTAAGGCTCTTTGGTTGTGTGGCTCTTCCTTGTGGGTGAGAATCTAATCTGCCTCATTTTACTTTATGCAAATGCATGGCTTCCTTCTGGCTTGTTAAAGTTCTTACTTTATTTTTTCTTTCTTTATTACCATCATTCAAGTACTGGGGATGAGTGAAGTATGTTGTATCCGCACTACTTGGAGATTTATTGCAGTTGCAAACAAAGATACATCCATAAAGTAAGAACTTTAACAAGCCAGAAAGAAGCCATGCATTTGCATAAAGTAAAATGAGGCAGATTAGATTCTCACCCACAAGGAAGAGCCACACAACCAAAGAGCCTTAATTGTTTTCAAATGTGGTGTCAACCATCTTGATTCAACCACATCATGCACAAAATTACGAACAGACAACATTTCAAGTTTTGGTGTGCTGATCTTAAATTTATTAATCCCTCCACAAAATTGGAAAGCCAGCTTCTCAAGGTTTGGAATACTAATACTAGAGGCAGTTTCATTAACAGTGTGTCTAAATTCAACATCCTGGAAAAATAATGAAGTGACATTGGAAAATATGCCACCAACATTATTTACGGGCAACAATAAAGGGACCTTCGACACTCAATTGCTTAATTGTCCGGCACGAGAGTATACAAAATGGCAGCTTATATTCATCCTCTCCACAATTAAAAAGACATATGTTAAGCTCCTCCACACCATTTCTTGATAGAAAAAAACACAACCTATTGAAATCAGACTGCCGCACAGGATAATAATTACCAATCTGTAGAGTAAATTTCTTAACCGGTCCAGCACGGGAAAGGAGAATATTATTTATTATGTCAAAGAGAGTTCTGCATTCATCATCGTGGCCCTGTTCGACACTATATGTGAAGTCACAATCGAACGCAAGACTCCCATGCTGTAACCAAACATCATTCCAGTGGGTTGAGAGTAGAGTAGTTCTGGCGACGTCTCGGATGGGCAAACACTCCAAAATTCTGTGCTTTACCTCTACCGGTAGAAGACTTATTAAATCCCTACTTGCACCCGCTACGATGGTTTTGATTAGCCGACGTCGACCCATTAAATTGATGGATCACCCGAAATCAAAAGCTAAAATCCTTCTATTCTTCAACTGTAAATTTAGTATATCGTAAATAAAACGAAATTAGGAAGCTAAGAGTTGGGGAGAAAACAGAGATTGGGGGAAAAGTGACAGAAACCCTCACCTCTGATGTTTGGTTTGGTTTGGGCCTTTGCGGGTTAGAAAAGCCGAAGGGAAACAGAATGCTATGTTGGAATTTGGGATTCGGATGTCGCAGACAGAAGTTTGCTGCTGTTTATGTAGCTGGACGAAGGTTGTGTATTTAGTAGAATAGTATCTGCGTCGTGTTGTATAAATACTCCCTTAAAAACATTTGCGACCAGGGAATCGTTGTTTTCGACAAGGCACACAGATACGCAGGATGGATCCTGCTTCTACAGCTCAGGCGTGAATTCGTAGATCAAGATGTATTGAAGGAGTTGGAAAAGGACATGTTATATACTGATAGCTACAACTGCCTCTTCCTTTCCAGCCATACAGAAGCGCTACAACTCAGGGGATGAAGAGGGATCACTGCAACACGTTCAAAGAACGTGTGTAGTGTGCGGACAAGGAGCAAGAGCAAAATTTTGACCACACCCCACCGCGCGTGCGAACCGAGCCGACGACGCGCGCGAGATCTCCCCTGGTTCCTTCTCCATAACACTTCAAACCTTAAGAAAAGATTTGGTGTTTAAATAGTGAGAAAAGGTGAGCTAGTCTTTCAATGTGGGACAAAAGTGCAAAACTAAGTATGCCTCTTTAAATGTTCCCAACAATCCCCCACACATTTAAGGTGGCTAGACTATACTCGACCAAACCTGAGCAATTACGGGAGCTAATTTCCATATCAGTGTGTAATACTTGAACTGACACGTAGTGGAATTAAGTAACTTTTTCCCGTGAGTGAACGGAATCTTGAACTCATCGGTTAATCGATTTTTGAACTTAACTGCACTCATTAGCTCTGTAATAAGTCCCTGTTCTGTCTATCTCTATGTAGACTTATAATCTGTCAAGTCTATCTCAGCATAGACCACCCATTATAGGCTACAGATTCAGTACTGTTCTCAACAGCCACTTGGTGTAAGTCTTTCCGTGATTTTCCCACACAGGTGGTCGATCACGAATTTCTTACCTCATTGGGTTTTAAACCCATTTCCCTTGAAGTTTCAAGGACGGTCTTCTGATTTAGACCTTTTGTAAAAGGGTCTGCAATATTCTTTTCAGACCTCACAAACTCCATTGTGATTACCCCATTTAGAATCAACTGCCTTACAGACTCATGTCTGACTCTTATGTGTCTTCTTTTGCCATTATAGACACTATTCTGTGCAACACAGATGGCAGTTTGTGAATCACAATGTATAGGAACCGCAGGTGCTGGACACCCCCACAATGGCACGTCTGCCAGTAGGTTTCTTAGCCACTCTGCTTCTTGGCTTGCTAGATCCAGAGCTATGAACTCAGCTTCCATAGTTGATCTAGCAATGCATGATTGTTTGGTTGATTTCCAAGATACAGCGGCTCCACACATAGTGAATACATATCCACTAGTTGAGCTTGCATCATCACTTCCGTTTACCCAATTCGCGTCACAATACCCTTCTAGCACGGCTGGCGACCCTTTGTAGTCGAGGCCCCAGTCCACTGTGCCTCTAAGGTACCGCAGTACCCGTTTTAGTGCATCCCAATGTGGAACACTCGGGTTGTGCGTGTAGCGACTGAGCTTATTCACAGCATATGCAATGTCGGGTCTAGTATAATTCATCAGAAACATTAGACTCCCGATTATTTTTGCATATTCTTCTTGTGACACACTAGCCTCTACCTTTTTTGACAGTTTTACACTAGGATCAAAAGGGGTCTTGGCCGGAGTGACCTCATAACTGGAAAACTTCTTTAGAAGTTTCTCCGTATAATGACCTTGGGATAAGAGATAACCCTTCTCAGTTTTTGTGATTTTTATCCCAAGTATCACATCGGCTTCCCCTAGATCTTTCATGTCAAAGTTTTCACATAGAGTTCTTTTAGTTTCATTTATAGCCTCGATGTTTGAGCTAAAGATTAGCATATCATCTACATAGAGACAAATAATCACAATGCTAGATTTTACCTCTTTAGTATATAAGCAGGCATCAGACCGGTTCGTTGTATAACCCAGGTCTATTAAAGTTTTATGAAACTTCTCATACCATTGCTTTGGAGCTTGTTTCAAGCCATATAGAGATCTTTTAAGTCTGCACACTTTCCCCTCTTGACCCGGATCTGCGCATCCGGGAGGTTGCTCCATGTAGATTTCTTCTTCCAGTTCACCATTCAGAAATGCAGTTTTAACACCCATTTGGTGAACTGTCAACCTGTGTAAAGATGCCAAAGCAAATAGAACACGAATGGTTGCAATCTTTGTCACTGGTGAGTATGTGTAAAAATAGTCCTCACCGAATTTCTGAGTGTAGCCTTTAGCCACTAGCCTGGCTTTAAACCTTTCTATAGACCCATCTGGCCTTAGTTTTCTTTTAAAGATCCATTTACAACCAATGGGCTTACAGCCTTTGGGTAGATTCACAAACTCCCATGTGTGATTTGACTATATAGAGTCTAATTCACTTTTAACAGCTTCTCTCCACAACGTGGAATCTACCGAGCGCATCGCTTCATGAAAGGTTTTTGGTTCTTCTTCTAGGACTAATTGACATATGAACTGATCACAAATTTCATTCAGGTCTTTTAGCTCTATCATGTAAGTCACGAAATCAGAACCAAAGTTTTTCTCTACTCTAGGCCTTTTACTTCTTCTAGGCTCCTCAGAGTTACTTGTGAAACTAGGAGGTATAGGAGTAGAATTTTGGTACAAGCTGACATCACCTTTGTTATAGTCCTTTTTCATTGGAAATGAGGTTTCAAAGAAGGTGGCATCTCTAGATTCTTGAATGATTTTCTAAGAGCAGGAATCTATATGCAGCACTGTTCTCAGCATAACCAACAAAAATGGCATCAAGGGTTTTAGACCCCAGATTTGGCCTCTTGAAGGACGGTAGTCCTACTTTGGCTAAGCAGCCCCACACCTTAAAGTAATTAAGGTTAGGAGCATGCCCTTTCCACAGTTCATAAGGGGTTTTTTCAAACCCTTTGTGCGGTACTCTATTCAAAATATGGTTTGCTGTTAAAGCAGCTTCCCCCCACAAAGAGTCCGGAGCACCTGAACTGATCAACATTGCATTGATCATCTCTTTGAGAGTTCTATTTTTTCTCTCAGCGATGCCATTTTGTTGAGGTGTATATGGTGCTGTTAATTCATGTATAATGCCAGACTTTTCACATAGTAATTTTAGTGATTTTGATTCGTATTCTCCTCCTCTATCAGATCGAAGCCTTTTAATCTTTTTGTCTAACTGGTTTTCTACTTCATTTTTAAAAACCACAAATTTCTGTTCGGCTTCGTCTTTTGATCTTAACAAGTAAAGTTTTGCGAAACGCGAAAAATCATCAATGAAAGTAATGTAATAACGTTTTCCACCTCGACTTTCAGTGGTTTTGAAGTCTGCTAAATCAGTGTGAATTAATTCTAACACAGTTGATGTTCTATTATTCACTGTTGAAAAGGAACTTCTAGCAAACTTAGCCTCTACACAAATTTCACATTGAGTACATGCATCACTTGACAATTTTGGCAACATATTCATGCTTTTCAGTCTATCTAAGCATTTTGTACCAACATGTCCTAATCTATCATGCCATAGATTTAATGAAACAACTATGTAAACTGAAGATGAAGCTTTATTATTAGCATTGTTTGCAAAGACATCACAATTGTTTGAAACAGCTAAAACAGGTTTATTTCTAGCTACAAAAGCATCTAGCACAAAAAGGCCTCCACGCCAATATCCCTTTCCCAGGTATTTCCCACAGTAAGTCAGAACCAAACGGTCAGACTCAAAAACCATTTTTATTCCAGCCTTATTGAGTAGGCCTCCAGAAATAAGGTTTCTACGTAGGGAAGGGACATAAAACACATTTTGCAATAACAGAAGCTTGCCAGAATTAAGCGTTAACTCTACTTTTCCTCTACCACTTACCTTAGAAATGCTGGAGTTCCCCATAAACACTTGTTCATCTTCGGTGTTGGGCTCGAGCACTTTGAACAGGTCCTTGTTGTTGCAGAAGTGGCGTGATGCTCCCGTGTCCACAACCCACTCATCTGGGTCTCCCACCAGGTTGACCTCGGTTATCACCGCTGCTACCATTTCAGTGTTTTCTGTGTTTTCCACCAAGTTTGCTTGAGTCCTTGGCCCTTCCTGGGTTGGCTTTTGACCAGTCTCACTTCTGGAACCCTTTCGGTGATAACATTGCTTTGCTTTGTGGCCTCTTTTTCCACAAACGTAGCACTCAGTGTTGTTTCTTCTTCTTTTTTTTTTTTTTTTCTGAATTTTCCCATTTTTTGGACGATTGTTGTTGTTTGGTTTCGAGTTCTTCTTTTGGTTTCTGGCACTTTCGCCAGGTTTTGACCTATCAAAACCACCACTTGTTTCAACCACATTAGCTTTAAGGCTTTCAGAAAAATTACCCATTTTTTGAACCATACGGTTTTCTTCTTCAATATTTATAGTATTGATCAGCTCCTGCAGAGTGTGGTTTTTCAGTTCGTGCTTCGTTTTGTTCTTGAAGTCCGACCACGCATCAGGCAATTTGTCAACCAGCGAGTCAGTTAGAAAGGCATCGTTCACCAAAGCCCCTTCTGCTTTCATATCAGCTACAAGATTCTCGAAGTCATGTACCTGTTCAGTGACGGGTTTAGTGTCTGTCATCTTGAAGTGCAGCCAGCGATTCACCGCGTACTTGCGCCTTCCAACGTCATCTACACCATATTATTGCTCCAGTAGTTCCCAGATCAATTTCGCAGACTTGTGCGGTGCGAACATGTCGAACAACGCATTATTGACTCGCTGCAGTATGGTTGCGCGAGCTGTTTTATTATCCTTCTCATATTTCGAACGAGTTGTCTGGGAAATCGCAGGAACCTGTGCAGGCGCAGGTGTTGTTGTCGATTCTGTTGGAGCAGTTGTCGACTTAGGATCGCCCCAATCCTTGGATGTCGCTGGTGTTGTAGATTGCGCAGGTGACTGCACTGCAAGCTCAGCAAAGTTGGCAAGATCTTCAAAAATGGCGTAATCCACATCCTTGGATTCTAGCAGCATCAAAACCTTCGC